GATTAAATTGATTAGTCCTTTTTTTATTTAATTTATTGTACCCAAATTTCTAATCATATTTTCTAGGTTTACGGGAATTTTAACTTTAGAAGAGTTAATATTTTTTTTTATGTTCTTAAAAATTTATTATATTTGATATAGCAACCAGAATAGCTCGGCCAATTGACCATAGTGGTTAGCTTGGTTCGGGTTGATTCGAGGGAGCTCAACACATTTTCAGTTCATATACCTGTCAAGGAGCCCACTTAGACAGCTCAGGGTATAGGTGGGTCCAGTTTGGATAGCTCGGAGGTCGTAGAGCCTGAGGAGCTCGGATACTCAAAGTGACCTCATGACAGGTAGGTCGTATAAGTGGAGGTTGTGGTTGCAACTTATGTATAACTTACGGCAGGCAGACAGGTACATAAGTCGTGGTTACGACCTGGAGACTTAAGAGTCGTGTGATAAGAGGGAAAAGAGTTATTCATGGACGAAAATTGTATCTTGCCAAGGTCTTTAAATTCTAGAAACGTGACAACTTAGAAAAGTAGATATTAGAGGATCTCTTTGTTAACTAGAACTCTCTTGGTATCAAGCTGCCCTAAGTATATAAGGTTGACTAGGTTCTTTTATCACATGCATACATCGCATACACACATGCAGAACTTACATATTATCAGTTTTATAAATAGCAAAATATTGACTTGAGCGTCGGAGGTTTTCGGCCACGACCTCTCCCCGACGTTTTGTGTTAAGTAGTTTTTTTAGCCGTGCACAGGATAATCTCGACTTTCGATCGTGTCTCTCGAGGAAGGTTGTTCAGAATCGGATTCAAAAAATTATTGATCGAGCTAATTAACACGAACTCCAATTCTGATCTATCTGCTAGGACTGTCTTGTATACTAATATGTCGAAAAATGTGCGCGTTTTTATATATTTAAAAGTGTATTTTTATACACTAAATTCATCCGGACGTTTACATATTTTTCGGCTTATTTATTATTTGGATAAATTCATATACATTGATATTTTTATTTTTATTTTCAGCCCATTGAAGTATTTTGTGTATGCAAAGTATTGGATGGGAGTTCGCACGAGCAATTATCGTGGGCCCAACACACGAGCAATAATTTGATTTGTGCCAAAGAATGTGAAAAGTGGCCCAACATTGATCTCCATCCCATGAAACTCACGCCACTTGCCAATTAAAATTGGATGAGGTGGATTAATTTGTTTTCGCATTTTTATATTTAACTTAACTTATATATAATACAATTGTAACATTGTTTGTTTCCCGTGCTTTACACGAGCCATGTTACTAGTTGGTTAGTTATATATTATGAATTAAAGAAAAAATAAAATACATGAGATGTAAGTTGTGAGTTAGAATTCTTGTAAACACATTCCTATTCTACTTTATTAAATAGTATTTTTTTTTTTGGGTACAGGGACCTTTCGGTTTCCGGATCCACAGGGGAATCGACTAATCCGGAATCGAGCCGGATAGGACCACAAGGGCGGCAAAGCTCTCTATCAAGAGTTTTAACACTGCTGCATTCCCAGGACTCGAACTCGAGACCACTGGTTAAACTGGAAGAGACCCAATCTCATCCAAGCGCTCTTGGGTTATTAAATAGTATTTTATTACTACAAAGTCCAGTTGTTGAATCATTATATCCTATTGGTGATGCTTATAAAAGCAAGAAAATAACAATACAAAATTGTACCAGGTCAAGAAAAAAAAACATTGAATTCTACAATTCTTCAATATATATCATGGGAAACATGAAGAATTCATTGACCATCTTCTCCGTTTTGTGCCTCATGGCCTACGTTACAGAATGTCTCAGTAGAAGAGCAAACAATAATCCTCTTCATGAATTTCTGAAGACGAGGAATTTAAGAAAGCAATCCGACCATCCTTTCCTTACAATGGACGATTCAAATGATTTTGATTCGTCATCGGTTTATGTAGCGTCACAGACGGGTATGAAAGAAGCCGACAAAATCAAAGCATTGCCTGGACAACCGCCCGTAACATTTAGTCAATATTCAGGTCATGTTACCGTTGACGCTGAAGCCGGACGAGCATTGTTCTATTATTTTGTTGAAGCCGAGAATCCGACCAGCAAACCTCTAGTCTTGTGGCTAAATGGAGGTAAGATGTATGGCGATCATCTAAATTAGGATACTTTTACTATGAAACGAACTTATGCTTTTGTTTAAAAAAAGCGTGTAATTTAAGTTTGAAACTATACATATATTTGTTAATCCAAAACACGGTTGCCTAATGAAAATATAGTTGAAATATATATATATTTGTTAATCCAAAACTCGTGTATTGACATATATATGCGGAGCTCAGGTCCCGGGTGCTCGTCAGTGGGGTATGGAGCATTCACCGAGCTTGGACCATTTCGAGTAAACCCGGATGGAAAAACATTATGGCATAATAAGAATTCATGGAATAACGGTAATTATTTTGGTCAAGTATGCACAAAACATAGTACAAATTAATTTCGGGATTTGAATAACTCGTTCTTTGTGTACAGTGGCAAATGTCCTGTTTTTGGACTCCCCAGCTGGTGTTGGATTTTCGTACTCAAACAGATCGTCGGATTATGTAACGGGCGACAAACAGACAGCTGCAGATTCTTACACATTCTTAGTAAACTGGCTCCAGAGGTTTCCAGAATATAAAACCCGACCCTTCTACATAACGGGTGAAAGTTATGCCGGTCATTATGTGCCTCAGCTTGCCGATCTAATCCTCAGATATAATAAACTTTCGAAGAACGCCTTATATATTAACCTAATTAATAGAATTGCGGTGAGTTTCATTTGTTGTACACTAAGGCCTTTGTTGATTTGGTAAGCACTTTGGGCCTTTGTTAATATCCGTTTCGTTTGTTTTTAGATCGGGAATGCGTATATCGACACTGCAGATAATGGAATTGGAAGCTTGGACTACTTTTGGAGTCATGCACTTATATCTGAAGACACTTACAAAGGCGTAAAAACAAATTGCAATTTCTCTTCAGACAAACCTGATTCAGATCGTTGTAGATACTATAAAGAACAATGGCATAAGGAGAGTGGCAATATCAACAATTACGACATTTATGCACCATTATGCCGCTCGCCCAGACAATTTTCATCGGTAATATTTCATCTTTTGAACAACTATTCAATCTGTTTTTGCAATTCATCATCTAAATATTCTCATTTTGTTATGTTCTCACTTGAAGCAGATATCGAATTTCGATCCATGCACTTATGATTACGTCGTCGAATATCTAAATAATCCCTATGTGCAGAAGGCTCTCCACGCTAACACCACTCATATATCTGGGCCCTGGGATTTTTGCAGGTAACAATTATTTATTCATTATGTTTTTTTTTTTTTTCACAAAATTTGTAATCAT